CTGGTGGTCAGTGTGAAACAGAGAGGAAATAGATGTTTTCCCTTAATCCTCAACACAAACAAGGAGCTTGCATTGAGGACAAATGTGCAGGAGTGTGTTAGAATGTGGCACAAGAGGTTCGGTCATCTAAATTTCAGAAGTCTCAAACTGTTACAGAGTCAAGAGATGGTTTTGGGGCTGCCTGAAATCCAAGACAGTGAAACTGTATGTCAAAGTTGTGCACTGGGGAAAAATCACAGGGAACCATTTCCCAAAGAATCAATGTGGAGAGCAAAGGAACCACTTGAACTAATACACTCGGATGTGTGTGGTCCTATGCAAACATCAAGTTTGAGTGGCAACCGATACTTTATTACCTTCATAGATGATTTTTCAAGAATGTGCTGGGTATATTTCTTGAAAAACAAATTAGAGGCTTTCTATGTGTTTAAGAAATTTAAAGCCATGGTTGAGCTTCAAAGTGGATATTATGTAAAGAAGCTAAGAACAGATAGAGGAGGAGAGTTCAATTCAAATGAGTTTGGAAAATTTTGTGAAGATTTGGGGATAGAAAGACAGCTCACAATTGCATACTCTCCACAGCAAAATGGAGTAGCAGAAAGGAAAAACAGGACAATTGTAGAGATGGCAAAGTGCATGATCTTTGAGAAAGAACTTCCCAACAATCTCTGGTGTGAAGCAGTAAACACATCTGTGTATCTGCTTAACAGGAGTCCTACAAAAGCAGTGAAGAATACTACACCTTTTGAGAAATTCAGTGGAAGAAAACCTGGGGTTAAACACTTGAAGGTGTTTGGTTCAGTTTGCTATTCTCTTATTCCAGGGAATCTAAGACACAAATTAGAAGAAACAAGTGTCATGGGTGTTTTCATTGGATATGGTACCTGTGAAAAGGGGTATAGGGTACTGAATCCTTTAACTCAAAAGGTCTTGTTATCTAGAGATGTAATTTTTGATGAACATGGTAGATGGGACTGGGAGAAACACAAAGTCAAGGAAGTCTGTATTCCTTTATCTGCAGTTGAGTCTTCAGAGTTGGATAAAATTGATGAGATGTCTGAATCTCATGAACAAGAAGGATCTGATGGGTCTCAAATTCAAGCTGGAAGTTCTCCAGCTACTGCTATTGGTGAATCAAGTAGCTCACAGGTCTCTGCTCAGTATGATGATACTCCACTGAGGTATAGGAACTTGAGTGAGATCTATGAGAGATGTCACTTATGTATTGTTGAACCTGAATCCTTTAATGAAGCTGCACAGGATGAAGCTTGGAAAAAGGCAATGAAGGATGAAATGAATATGATCGAAAAAAATCAGACATGGGAGTTGGTGAGAAGACCCTCAGATAAGCCTGTGATTGGGGTGAAATGGGTGTATAAAACAAAGCTGAATTTGGATGGAATAGTTCAAAAGAACAAGGCTAGACTTGTTGCAAAAGGCTATGCACAAAAGCCCGGAATTGATTTTAATGAGACTTTTGCACCTGTTGCAAGATTAGACACAGTTAGAACTCTAATTACACTGGCAGCAAAGAATAAATGGAAGTTATTTCAACTAGATGTGAAATCAGCTTTTCTGAATGGAGTATTAGAAGAGGAAGTATATGTTGAACAGCCAGATGGGTTTGTAGTGCAAGGAGAGGAAGAAAAGGTTTACAGATTACATAAAGCTTTGTATGGTCTAAAACAGGCACCTAGGGCCTGGTATGGTGAAATAGATTTATACCTTATGCTTTGTGGATTTAAGAAAAGCATCAGTGAGGCAACTCTGTACACCAAGTACAAGGGAGACACAGAATTGATCATAGTATCCATCTATGTTGATGATATTATATATACTGGAAATTGTCAAGAGTTAATGGATGTTTTCAAAGCTGAAATGATGTATAAGTATGAGATGACAGATCTTGGTCTTTTACACCATTTCCTTGGTATGGGGGTAATCCAAACTGAGGAATGTATCTTCATTCATCAGAGGAATTATGCTTTATCTCTTCTGAAGAAGTTCGGACTACAGAATTGCAAATCAGTGAGTACTCCTTTGGTTCCAAGTGATAAACTGAGAAGAGAAGATGGAAGTGGAAATGCAGATGAAGCTCAGTATAGACAGATTGTAGGTAGTCTGCTGTATCTCACAGCAACTAGACCTGATATAATGTATGCTGCTTGTCTCCTAGCTCGGTTTATGCATTGTCCCACTAACAAGCACTTTGGAACAGCAAAAAGAGTATTGAGATATGTTCAAGGAACTCTTGATTTTGGTTTGGAATACAAGAAAGGTGAAGGAACACTCTTAATGGGATACTGTGATAGTGACTAGAGTGGCTCAGAGGATGACATGAAAAGCACATCCGGGTATGCTTTTACTTTTGGAAATGGGATTTTCTCTTGGTCTTCAGTCAAGCAACAATGTGTTGCATTATCCACAGCCGAAGTAGAGTATATCAGTGCTTCTGAAGCAACAGCACAGGCTACTTGGTTGAGATTTGTTCTAGAGGATTTTGGTGAAATGCAAACTGTTGCAACACCAATGAATTGTGACAATACATCTGCCATTGCCATCACCAAGAATCCCATCTTTCATCAGAAGACTAAGCATATAAACCGAAGATATCACTTCATAAAGGAAGCATTACAGCAAGGAGTAATTGATTTGATTCACTGTCCTACAAAGGAGCAACTAGCAGATATCTTTACAAAAGCATTGGCAAGGGAGCAGTTCACTTACTTGAGAAATCTACTTGGAGTGAAATCAGTTCACAACTTAAAGGGGAATGTTAGTATGTAAGTTGTTGAGCTGATTAGTACACATTACAAGATTGTTATGTGTGTCATGTCTCAGCTCATAGGCTGAGCTATTGTGTAAAATTGTGGTGTGTTGATCAAGTCTCATAGGGCTTATCATTTGACAAGTGTTTTGATCTTAAGATAGGTTGTAATGGTTGGTTGAGATTGAATTGAGGTTATGTCTCTCTCTCTCTTCTTTGTCATCAGTTAAAAATGTCTCTTCGGGTTGTTATGCCCTGTATGAAATATACTGAGGAAGCTGAAAGGTTATGCTCTGTGTGTGTGCTCTCTCTGTGATTTCATCTTCTAAATCTTTCTAAATATCTCTCTCAAATCCTGTTAGACTTATTTTGTATAGTTGTGTTACTGGATTCCAACAGTAATCACGTTGAGAAAACATGGTTGCGCAGCATAAAAGTAGGTCGTTATATGATGCTAGCACAGTGGGTCCTGGTTCAAATTCATCGGTACTAGTGCTGACGACAGGAGGCCCTTGGAAACAAGGGAGGAAACTCAAAGAGAAGTTACGGAATTTTGTTGGGCCAAGAGGTTGCTCGGACGACATGGAAAAGAAATTGCTAGGGTTCTTTGGATTTGTGACGATCATGGTGCGCGTAGCGGGGGTCTGACTGTCGGTTTGGAGTTGGACACAAGAAAAGCGGCTAAGAAAATAAGGATTAAAAACGAGATTGTACCAACGTTTGGACACACACATGCATTGCACTACGGATTCGTAGGGGAGATGACCGAGGATTTCAACCAACACAGAATCATGGAGACCATCAAGATTCAACATGATTATTGATGTGCAGATTGTTGGATTGATTGATTGCAATTGGCGTTCTTGTAATTGGAACTTGTTTCATAAGGTACCGTTTGGTACGCAGACGGGACGGAACGGAACGGAACGGGACGGAACGGAACGGGACGGGACGGGACGAGACGGGACGGGACGGAACGGATGATGTAAATATTGAAAAAGATAAGGAGAAGTTTTGTCATAAAATGTTATAAATTTGTGTTTCACGGATGTGGAACGGGTCGTTCCAGGGGGAAGAGGTGGAACGAAAAATCAGCCAAATTTCGTCCCATGGGACAACCCGTTTCACAGTTTTTAGGCGCATCAAACGTGGGACGGAATGGCTCGTTCCGTTCCGTCCCGTCCCGTCCCACGTACCAAACGGTACCTAAGGGAACGGATTCAGTTTTCTATTTGGGTTTTAATAGAGAAATCCTTATTGGTTTAGGATAATATTAGGGTAAATTACATATTAGCCCCTCAGGTTTGAGTTCTATTACAACCCTATACAACATCTTTAAAACATTTCACTTTCATACCTCACGTACTATTTTATTTCAAAATAATACATCCATTACATTTTTCATCCATTAATCCGTTAAGTGTTGACGTGACTGTCATATTTGTGCCACATGGCAAAATTTTTTTTTTTAATTTAAAAAAAAAACCTGAATATTCTCAATTAAAAAAAAAAAAAAAAAACCAAAAACCAAAAACAAAAGTTGAACCCGCACCCCCCCAACTTGCAACCAGAAGAAGAAGAAGAAGAAGAGGAGAGGGAAAAAAAAACACCCATCATCTTCCATGACCCTCTTTCCTTGCAACCCACCCTTTTCTTCCCCCTTCCGTCTTCCCCAAACCCACCGTGCACCCATCCTCCACCTCCTCCTCCGCACCACTACCTGCAACCCAGAAAAGAAAAAAAAAACCCATCTCCCTTTCCCTACAACCCAGATCCTGTCTTCCCCAATAAGTGTGGATTTAAGGCCGAGGGTGGATGCGCTGGGTTTTTTTTTTTTCCCTTCTTTCTAGGTTTGCAGGTTGGGCTCAGGTTGGGGGAGCGGAAGATGTAAAGATGGGTGTACGGAGGAGGTGGAGGATGGGTGCGCACAACGGATGGAAGATGATTTGGACGGGGGTTGCTGAGATATGGACTTCGCCGCCGCCCCGGGGAGGGGGTGTGTGGTTTTGGGGGGCATGTGGGATATCATATATACTAAAACTCAAACCCCCTGGTCACTGTGGATGACCAGTGTGTGGACGTTTTTGCCCCTCCGTTTTTCCTCTGTTTCTCTAGCTGTTTCCATCACGTTTCTGTACAGCGAAGTGTCGGATTTACCCTTTCTGGCCACGCGTCTCTCATCGCTTCACCTTCTGTTTCTCGACTCTTCTACTTCATTCCACGTTTTTCCATTTGTGTTCACTTCTCTCTGTCTCTCTCTCAAATCTCTGCTTCCGTCGCACTCGAACTCCTTCTGTCGCTCTTCTCTTTCTAAAATCCATCTAAAAAAATGTATAATGGGTATTGTTTCTCTCTGCAGGTTACTCGAAGAAGTCTGTGAGGGGTCAATAGGAGAAGGTGGATTGCGTTTCAAAGTGCAAAAAATACAGGGCATGCCTCTTTATGCGTTTCCAATCTTCCAAAAATCGTGTTCGTGGAGGCGATTTGAGACGGATTTGAAGCTCGGCTACAGAGATTTTATTCAATTTGGTGGATTTGGGTAAGAAACTAAGAAACCCTAATATTTTCTTTTGGTTTTAAGAGAACTAAGCAGATTTTTGCGTTTGGATTGATGGGAATCATTCGAGAAAAGATTCTTGGAATTCTTGATCGTTTGGTGAAATAAGCAGAATTTTTATTTGCCATCTTTATTTGTATTGTGAATCCGATGGGGGATGGCTATGAAATAAGCAGAATTTTTAATATTTGATGTGGTTCGGTTTTTGGTTTCAGAAATTTGTACCAATTTGGTTTCGATTGGAATTTCTGGGCTCATCTAATCCAACGTTTCCAGGTGAGAAAGTTGCTTAAATTTCGATTTTTATTAAACTCAGGTGAGCTTCTTCAGTTTTTTAGATTGATTTGAAGGAATTTCTTGCCCAGAAAAGCTAGGGTTTCCTGGTAAGTTTTTCAAGTCTTTCATCTTGGGGGTTTTGTTTTGTTCAAATATGGGGTTTTGTGATTTTGGATTTACAAATGGATTGAAATTTCGATTTCACCTCCCACTCGGAACCTGATACTCAGTCACCTTTAGAACAGCTTCCTTCTCTCTTTTTCTCCAACCATGGTTGCTGATCCACAGGGCATCAAGGTGAGTTTTTATTTTGGCCATATTTTTTAGATTTTTTCTGTTTGGTAGCTTAGAAAATGTGATCCCATGTTTTAGTTTTTGGTGTTTTTGTGATTTTCGATTCGTAGGTTTTTCAGATTTGATGGCGTTTGTTTCTGTGCTCAAGGTAAGCAATTTAAACTTCTGGGGTTATTCAATTCAAAGTTTTCAATTTATAATTTAGTTTAGTTTTTTATAATTGGAGTTCAGTTTGGTATTTCGTTTGCATTTTGATTATATTGAAATGTGAGTTTCTGTTTGGGTTTGATATTTTTCCTGTTATCGTGATTGAGTTGTGGTCTTAGAACTGAGTGTAAGAGACATGTATGTTTGGTATCCAACTAAGTTGGACAACCAAACCAATTGAAATAAAGTAGGATGTTTTTAATGATTTGAAGAACTGAGCTGCACTACATGACCATCTGCTGATAATGTATGACCTTCTTTTGATGCTTTCCAGTTCAATCAAAGCAAATTAGACAAAATCATGAATTAATTAAATGTGGTGTCTTCCTTTCTCCTCTGTTTCTTTTGCTGTTGGGTGAAAGTGAGCATGGGTATATGATAACCTATTTAAAAGGAAAGCTGGAGAGAGAGAGGGTAATAAAGTAGGTCTATACAGGGACCCAGAAGTCAAGGCATACTGACAGAGAAAAATACACAGATTGGTATGGTAAAAATGAAAAGAAAGTTTCCCCTTTCTTTTTATTAGTTTTAGGGTTGGGTCGAACCCAATAGAATATAGAAAATGAAGTGTTAAGGTGAGTTGATGTCAATTTTAGATATGTAATCGGTGCTTAATCAATTTTGAATACAGCATGTGGAACACTTTGAATTCAGGTTGTCTTTTTTTCCCTTTTTTCTTTCTATTTATTTAACTTCTGATTGGCTGCTTTATTTGTTTTTCCAGATTATATAATTTAATCTTCTCTAAAAACTTCTGTGTCGTCCACTGTCATCCGCTTCCGCTCCTTGACTTGCTTGATTTTTAGTTTTCGGACTCTGATTTTGTACATGTGTTAGCAATTGATTGCCTTCTTTTGGAAAAATGCTAATCGAAAACTGAATTTGGATTGTATGATTAGTGGTTTTTGTTCTTCATTTTACTGACATTTTGGTCCATTTTCCCCAATTCTCTCTCGCAGCAAAATCACCGCCACCACCCAACAAACCCATGAGCTGGAATTTCAATTACTGTGCATGAAGGGAGGTAAAGTTGTTATCTTTCTCTACAAAGTGTAGATTTTTTATTTCAGGTTTCATTTGTTTGTATTGGGTAACTTGAATTTTGCTTCAAATTGTAGTAATTGCCATGCAAATTTACATTTTTTGTGTGAAATTGGAGAGTTTCGGTTTTGAAAGTTATATTTGCAAATATGAAAAGAGCTTATATAAAAACATGGAGGAACTGTGTGTTTAATTATCATTAAACGCTACCTTTTAGCTATGTAATGTAGAGGCTGTTAAAAAGAAATTTTATATCATGTTTTAGTTTTGTTTCATTTTTTTATCTTCGGCCTTTGTTGTGTAAACTTGGTTGTGCCTTATTTCTTCTGCCTTTTTGTAACTTTTTTTTTCATATCTCAAATAAAATTTGTATTTCCTGATTTTGTTTGTCCAGTTCAGACGAGAACAGTGTTTTCATGTTCTCCCCAACATCAACAAGCGCTTTGTTTGTGCTGAGAAAGCACTACTCAACCCTTCTCTACCATTATGAACAGGTTCACCTTTTAGGCACAGGGTCCTTTATCTACCCCCACACAATCTTCTATATTTAATCTTTTGTAACATAATCTTTTATACCTTTCAAACATAATTTTTCATACGATTCTTAATCCCGCAGCAACGCGCGGGTAGCATTTTCTAGTGGGTTTCTAAACGAAGAAACAGAAACCCCGCAGACACGACGTGGCGTTTTTGATTTGGTGCGCCTTCTTCCTTGAGAGCGGAAGCTGCCTTTCACCTCCGCCCTGCAACTCAAGTTAGCAGCTAGATTTTGGTTACAGAAAGTGTTGGATTTTCACATTAATCCTCCAGGTAAGTCTTTCCAGGAATTACAAATTTGCAATTGTGTTTTTAATCCAATTTTTTTATTTGTTTGTACGAATTTTCGTTGCTTTGCAAGGAATTTTGAAGGAAAAATAAAAAAAATTAAAGACAACGGAATTGAAATTTGGAATATTAATCGGTCCATTTGAGTTTTTGAATTTTGAATTTATGGGGAAGGGGGGAATGGGATCGGGGTTCCAAGTTTTCTGGGTTCTTATTCTTTTCAAGGTTCAGGTTTGACAGCCACGTTGCATAAATGTGACAGCCACGTCAGCACTTAATGGATCAATGGATGAAAAATGTAACAGATGTATTATTTTGAAATAAAATAGTACATGAGGTATAAAAGTGAAATGTTTTAAAGATGTTGTATAAAGTTGTAATACATTTCAAACCTGAAGGGTTACTATGTAATTTACCCATAATATTATGATGTAAATAATCATGATGACTTAAATACCACAAACAAATGAAGTAACGAAGGAAAAGGAGACTATTAAACGTCTTCTTATTTGAAAAAGCATTCATGTCCTATGAACATGAGTGTGGCTTGAAAGCATTAAAAATTTAAAAGTGTTGAATCTACAAGTCACATTAAAAGTTCAAAGCATTCAGAATAAAAAAAGCTAGTCAGAATTTCACACAAAATCTTGCTAAGCAAGAATTGTTTAGTTTTCGGGTCCATGATTAGTTGTCCCAAGGCTATTGGAAAATATAGTCTCAGATGATTAAATTGTTTTTTCAATTGGAGTTGTTTGCCCAATTGGAGTTTAGTTTTTGGATTGAAGAAGGATTCATAACTAGATTCCAATCATTATTAGTATTCCTTATTGAAGAAGACCTTTATAATGTCTATATAAGAGGAAAGGGATCCTCTCCGGATCCCTCCACCAAATCCACCCAATCAATCAGTCCGGACCTTTGAAATTTGATCAAACGGCTACAAATAGGAGGCTCCTTTAAAATGTGTAGTAACTTTAGCCGTTGAATTAAATTTCAAGGGCCTGGATTAGGTGGAAAGGATCAAAGATGATCCTTTTCCTATATAAAGGGCTTATGGTACTAGTTTCGTTACCTGGGAAATCGAGCAATGCACTAGAGTTCAGTTGTTTCAATCAAAATCCCTTCGAACCACGCAAACTATTTCGATGAAAAAGCCTACTGGTACTATAGAAACTAATGTCTAAAGGATACATACATATGTACAGCTACTGAACCATTTATGAATCGAATAGAAAGCTATAAGTAGCAGACCTGTTCTTCGTACAGGAATACATGGTATGGCAAACATCACAGAAATTCGAAACAAAACTAAAAGATTGCAACTTTGAATGCTAATGATAATACAATTAGAGCAGCAAAAACTTTTAGACGCACAACTAATTCATGGCAAAATACAAAAGGCGGTGAAATTAAAAAGAAAACAAAATGAGAGAGGGAGAATAAATTGGTTGCGGAGTCGCCATCCATGAAATTCAAACTTAAAACCTCTTACTTACAACTAGATCGTAGTGCCAAAAGTAGGACTAAGTTGAAGAAGAAAAGTGTAATTTTAGTCTTTGTGTCATAGCTAGTAATCTCATAAAAAGGGGAAAATAGGGTGGGTTTTTCGGTTCGGGTACAAAGTTCCCCATCAAAGTTCAATTTCACTCTTTAGCCACAAACCCATTTTAAGGATCGATCACGATAGCAACACAAAAAACACTACTGAATCTTCCTCAACAAACCAACCAATTGAATCTTCAAATTTACAACACAATTAGATCAATAACTTGAGCTGTAAATGCATACATAATCCTTTCTTACTTTCTCACTAGCTAATACTAGAAACAAAATCCAATAGTCAACAATTTATTAGAGAACAACAATTGATACGACTATTTTAGGTAAACACAATTGAAGAAACAAAATAATTCACAGCAAAAACCAAGTTACTACTGTTAAAGCAAATCCCCAACAGTTTATCAGAAATTCACAATCTATACAACCAATTCAGGGAAAGATTGAATTTCAACAAAATTTGATTTAGTGATAGCATCAAGAAACAGAAAGACAACCAAGTAAACAATTTATCAGAAATCAACACAACACATTCTATAAACCAAATCCTCAACGATTTATCAGAAATTCACAATCTATACAACGAATTCAGGAAAACAAGATTGAATCTTAACAAAAGTTAATTTAGTAATGGTATGAAGAAACAAAAACTATACTACTGTTCTGTAGACTCGTGCTGAAAAGACAATTAGCTAGCCTAGCAGAACGGTACTAACAATAGAAGGAAAGTATACTATTGTTCTTGCAGACTTGTGCCGAAAAGACAATCAACTAGCCCAGCAAAACGGTATTAACAACAGAAGGAAAGTATACTACTGTTCTTGGAGGCTTGTGCCGAAATGACAATCAGCTAGCCCAGCAGAACGATATTAACAACAGAAGGAAAGTAGTATCTAGCACGATTCGTCCCACGTTTGGTACGCCTAAAACAGGTGGAACGCGCTGTTCCACGGGATGAGTTTTGGGTGAATTTTCATTCCGCCTCATCCCCTAGAACGATTCGTTCCACATCTGTGGAACACAAAATTATAACATCTCCGTCTCCTTCTTCCTCCTTGTTTCAATCCGAGGGCATCTTTGCTCCCTCTCTGTTCCGTCCCGTCCCGTCTGCATACCAAACGATACCTTACGTAATGTTATTTTTACACAAAATTGAGGCTAGTGGGCTTCTATTTGTCAATTCGTTGATGTGATTCTCGATTTTTTTTACTTTAGCAGGTGTTAGCCACTGCCCAGAACGGAAGCGAAATTGAGATCGCGTAAAAACAGCTAGTTTGTTTTCTTCGTTACTGTATTTTTGGTCGGAACTCTTTATATTAGTTAAGTTGGTACTGTATAATATGTTAATTGAGCCTAAATTCTGACAATTGTTTTAAAAATTTCAATTTCTGAAACACATGTGCAATGCACGTCTCTCCCCCCATCCCCAAATTCAAAATATTTAAATAGATACTTTAGGGTCTGTTCGGTATTTGATTTGGATCCAATGTTTTTAACTCAAAAACAAGTTTTGAGTCACAAATTTAAAGTCTTTGTTTGGTAGTGGATTTGAATACAATTCTCAAAACCACTACTCAAAAATATCTGAAAACAAGGGCTATTGGTTGAAAACACAAAAAGTGTGTTTTTAGACCTTTTAATTTATGGATTATCATTCCCCTTCTCTCTCTCCCTCTCTCTCCTCTCTCTCATTCGATGTACTCCCTTCCCTCTTGCCTCTTCAATCCTCTTTTCTCTATTGCATTTCCAATCCCTTCCCGCTTATATCCACCATAGCCACCACCTCTATCCTTCTGCCTCCAGCCAAGACAATTCGATCTCTCCCGCCTCTTCAATCTTATCTCTTCTCACTTGCATCCACCATAGCCACCACATCTTCCATATGGTCGTTGGATCTCAGGTTTGAGACTGCTAACATGATTAGCCTCTGTCAGCGCAAGTTTGGAGTTGGTATAGCCAAAGGAGTCGCCGCTAGGGAAGTGAGGGATGCGGTGGTCAGGTAATTGCTTGGGCTGGGCGTTTGACTTTTTCTGTTTGTATTAGTTTTGAGAAATTGCATACCAAACAAGGTTTTGAATTTAAAATTTTTAAATCAAAACATGTGTTTTTAGAAAAATTAAAATTTTGAATTTCGTTTTCAAGTCAGATGCCAATCAGGCCATTAATATCTCTCTCAACTCACTCTCACTCTACTTTTACTCCCTCTCTGCGCTCCTCTCTCTAATTTCTCTCTCTAAGGGCTGGTTTGGTATTGCTGTGCTTTGAAAAAAAGCTGCTGTGAGAATAAGCGGCTGTGCTGTGAATCAGCAGAGTGTTTGGTAAACTTTTTTGTAAAAGTGCTTTTGAAAAAAAAAGCAGTCTGATAGTGGGTTTTTTCATTAAAGGAGCATTGTAGCTCCGTGTGCTTTGAAAAAAAGCCAGTTTTCCAAAGCTGCAAATAGCAGCTTCAGCTTTTTCCTTTGATTTCAGCTTATTCTCGCAGCAGCTTCCAAAATAAGCCATTTTTTTTCAGTTTACCAAACACCTAAAACCCTTACAGCTTTTTTTCATGGGTATTTTTTTTTAAGCACCTCACTCCCAAACCACCCCTAACTCATTCTACTTTTCCTCCCTCGCTCGCTTGTTTTCCAGTACACCATTTTCAAAAGAGAAAACATGACCCAGCCCTGGTCTTCTTTAGAAGACGTAAAATTGAGTAGTCTTCGTTTGAAATTTCCAGGTAACTTTTACGGGACGATCTCGAGATTCTTTGCCGTTCGCACAGAGAGGAGATTTGTCAAAGGATTCGTGAACTCGACAATTCTGACCCAGACACATTGGTTTGGCCAATCTTGTTTAAAACCAATGGAGAGGTAAATTTCAGTCTTTATTTTACATATTAGGGGTTTGATTTTCAAATTTTTAATATTTCTTATTCTGGGTGGGTTTTGTTTTCAGGAAACAGTGGAGGGTTCTGTTCAAGGACAACCACTGAAGATAGAAGCCTGCGAGGAAGTACACCGGAAAGAAGATGTTTCTGGTAAGTTTTTATTTCTGTTTGTAAATCTTGTTTTTTATTTTATTTATAATTTTCTTTTTATTTGTATTTTTTTTTAATTTAGGGATCTTGATAAAATTTTGTAAATTCTCTTTCTTTAGTTTAATTTTCCAAAGCCCCAACAGAAATTCACAATTAAAGGTTGAGATTCAATCTTGATTCATTGAATTGGTGGTATAGATTGTGAATTTCTGTTGGGGCTTTGGATTTGCTTTAACAGTAGTAACTTGGTTTCTGGTGTAAATTATTTTGTTTCTTCAATTGTGTTTACCTAAAATAGTCGTATCAATTGTTGTTCTATGATAAATTGTTGAGTATTGGATTTGCTTTTGGATTTTGTTTATAGTATTAGCTAGTGAGAAAGTAAGAGAGGATTATGTATGCATTTACAGCTCAAGTTATTGATCTAATTGTGTTGTAAATTTGAAGATTCAATTGGTTGGTTTGTTGAGGAAGATTCAATAATGCTATTTGTGTTGTTATCGTGATCGATCCTTAGAATGTGTTTGTGGCTAAAGAGTGAAAGGATACGGTTACATTGTGTAAGAATCAGGGTACCCCAACTGAAATTATTTCAGAAATCAATCTATACAACTATTTCAGAAATTCAAAATCTATACCGCTAATTCAGGGAATCAAGATTGAATCTCAATGATTTATCAGAAATTCAAAATCTTTACAACAATTTTCTCAAGAATACCCACCTCAATTAAAGAAAACAAACAGAATTTACAAAATTAACGATTACAAAGAGCAGAAACAAAAAAATTAAACTAAAGAAAGAGAATTTACAAAATTTTATCAAGATCCCTAAATTAAAAAAAAATACAAATAAAAAGAAAATTATAAATAAAATAAAAAACAAGATTTACAAACAGAAATAAAAACTTACCAGAAACATCTTCTTTCCGGTGTACTTCCTCGCAGGCTTCTATCTTCAGTGGTTGTCCTTGAACAGAACCCTCCACTGTTTCCTGAAAACAAAACCCACCCAGAATAAGAAATATTAAAAATTTGAAAATCAAACCCCTAATATGTAAAATAAAGACTGAAATTTACCTCTCCATTGGTTTTAAACAAGATTGGCCAAACCAATGTGTCTGGGTCAGAATTGTCGAGTTCACGAATCCTTTGACAAATCTCCTCTCTGTGCGAACGGCAAAGAATCTCGAGATCGTCCCGTAAAAAGTTACCTGGAAATTTCAAACGAAAGACTACTCAATTTTTACGTCTTCTAAAGAAGAACCAGGGCTGGGTCATGTTTTCTCTTTTGAAAATGGTGTACTGGAAAACAAGCGAGCGAGGGAGGAAAAGTAGAATGAGTTAGGGGTGGTTTGGGAGTGAGGTGCTTAAAAAAAAAATACCCATGAAAAAAAGCTGTAAGGGTTTTAGGTGTTTGGTAAACTGAAAAAAAATGGCTTATTTTGGAAGCTGCTGCGAGAATAAGCTGAAATCAAAGGAAAAAGCTGAAGCTGCTATTTGCAGCTTTGGAAAACTGGCTTTTTTTCAAAGCACACGGAGCTACAATGCTCCTTTAATGAAAAAAAACCCACTATCAGACTGCTTTTTTTTTCAAAAGCACTTTTACAAAAAAGTTTACCAAACACTCTGCTGATTCACAGCACAGCCGCTTATTCTCACAGCAGCTTTTTTTCAAAGCACAGCAATACCAAACCAGCCCTTAGAGAGAGAAATTAGAGAGAGGAGCGCAGAGAGGGAGTAAAAGTAGAGTGAGAGTGAGTTGAGAGAGATATTAATGGCCTGATTGGCATCTGACTTGAAAACGAAATTCAAAATTTTAATTTTTTCTAAAAACACATGTTTTGATTTAAAAATTTTAAATTCAAAACCTTGTTTGGTATGCAATTTCTCAAAACTAATACAAACAGAAAAAGTCAAACGCCCAGCCCAAGCAATTACCTGACCACCGCATCCCTCACTTCCCTAGCGGCGACTCCTTTGGCTATACCAACTCCAAACTTGCGCTGACAGAGGCTAATCATGTTAGCAGTCTCAAACCTGAGATCCAACGACCATATGGAAGATGTGGTGGCTATGGTGGATGCAAGTGAGAAGAGATAAGATTGAAGAGGCGGGAGAGATCGAATTGTCTTGGCTGGAGGCAGAAGGATAGAGGTGGTGGCTATGGTGGATATAAGCGGGAAGGGATTGGAAATGCAATAGAGAGGAGAGATCGAATTGTCTTGGCTGGAGGCAGAAGGATAGAGGTGGTGGCTATGGTGGATATAAGCGGGAAGGGATTGGAAGTGCAATAGAGAAAAGAGGATTGAAGAGGCAAGAGGGAAGGGAGTACATCGAATGAGAGAGAGGAGAGAGAGGGAGAGAGAGAAGGGGAATGATAATCCATAAATTAAAAGGTCTAAAAACACACTTTTTGTGTTTTCAACCAATAGCCCTTGTTTTCAGATATTTTTGAGTAGTGGTTTTGAGAATTGTATTCAAATCCACTACCAAACAAAGACTTTAAATTTGTGACTCAAAACTTGTTTTTGAGTTAAAAACATTGGATCCAAATCAAATACCGAACAGACCCTAAAGTATCTATTTAAATATTTTGAATTTGGGGATGGGGGGAGAGACTTTGTTTCAGAAATTGAAATTTTTTAAAACAATTGTCAGAATTTAGGCTCAATTAACATATTATACAGTACCAACTTAACTAATATAAAGAGTTCCGACCAAAAATACAGTAACGAAGAAAACAAACTAGCTATTTTTACGCGATCTCAATTTCGCTTCCGCTCCGGGCAGTGGCTAACACCTGCTAAAGTAAAAAAAATCGAGAATCACATCAACGAATTGACAAATAGAAGCCCACTAGCCTCAATTTTGTGTAAAAATAACATTACGTAAGGTATCGTTTGGTATGCAGACGGGACGGGACGGAACAGAGAGGGAGCAAATTTTGTGTTCCACAGATGTGGAACGAATCGTTCTAGGGGATGAGGCGGAATGAAAATTCACCCAAAACTCATCCCGTGGAACAGCGCGTTCCACCTGTTTTAGGCGTACCAAACGTCTCACGGAACACCTCGTCTCACTCCGTTCCGTCCCGTCCCACGTACCAAACGGTACATAAGGTAACTCAGGTGATAAGTTAAAAATAACTCCTCATCCAGTGTGCGAGTTAAAAATTAAATAAACAAATAAAAACTAAAAAGAAGCAGAATCAAAGGGTTTGAGCTTTAGTAGCTTAGTAAGGACATGACCTTACCACAATAAATTGACCAAACTAGTTCCCATATTCATACCTCTATTCTTGTGAATTCATACTCCAAAATACACAAAAGCCTCACGCATTCCGTACAGTGCTTTGGACTCGAGTGTCTTGTTATATAAATTACCACCCATGACACATCCCACTATTACATGTTTGAATCTCCTAACTCCAGCTTCTGGAGCAGGGCCGGCCCTAAGATTTCAGGGGCCTTGTGCGAAAGTGAATTGGATGCCCTAAAAAGTACTAAAGATTTAATTTTTTAATTTTTTTGTTCAAAAAAATAATTTTAGTCCAGCTTATGGAGCAGGGCCGGCCCTAAGATTTCAGGGGCCATGTGCGAAAGTGAATTGAAGGCCCTAAAAAGTACTAAAGATTTATTTTTTTTAATTTTTTTGTTCGAAAAAATAATTTTTGTTTTTAATTAAACTTCTATAAATTCCAATAGCACAAACAAATTTAACATATCAACAAGTGGAAAGGTGGTGTATTATTTTTCCTTAACTATTTAGAGGGCCAGTGTTCGAATTTTCATGTTATTGTGTGAAATTTTTATATTATTTTGTGGAAGCTTATGTATTTAATAAAAATAAACTGAAAAAATAATGGAGACAAGTTTCAAACCCATCCCCTAGGCCGATGTAAAGAAGCAATAATATCACTTGCGCTAAGACTCAAGTTTGTAATATTCTACACATATTACTATATATACGTATATGCATGCAAAATTGAAAAATCGGGGGCCTTCCGATTTGGGGACCCTGTGCGGTGGCACTACTTGCACCCCCCTCAAGGCCGGCCCTATTATGGAGTTCTTTCCAACAGTCGATTGTTGGCAATCGGGCAGAGATCTATTTTCTGTAGCAGGAAGCAAAGGCCTTACTAGATAGGGCAATCAGAAGCGTCGGTTTACGACACAGGGAGAGAAATGCAACCACGAGATAAAAGTTGGGTAAGTGTAGTATAGCCTTTTTATTTGAGTGCCCGAAACCCCCAAAATGGTCCCTCACATAAAGGTCGTATTTCCCATGCCTAAATTCTAAAGCATTGCTCCGAGTTACGAACATTCTAAAGCATTGCTCCGAGTTACGAACATAAGAATCCATTACTGCGACAAGCACCTGTTCACAAATATGTAAGATATCGATATTACTAATGAATAACTATAACTGTAGCCGTATTGTTTGGGATTACTAATTCAACACTACTATTATCCAAATGCCATTTTGATGCAAGTGACCCTTTACCACAATGGTGAAAATGTATAAAGTCCTTACGTGACGGCATGGGTTCGAGTTCTATCGGTGGTTAATTTAGCATTTAATCTAATAAAATTTATCGTCTGACAAAAAAAAAAAAAAAAGAAGCCATTTTGATTGATATGAAATAACACAGTTACAATAGAAGAAACACTGGAATAGAAATAGATTTTGATTCATTAAATAAATGCAATCTGCTTCGTTGTATAGTTGAAAGTGTGTATATATATATCTATATATATATGTATGTATATATATATGTATGTATGTACGTACGTATATGCAAATAGTTGGATAACTAACGTGAAAACTAACAAATTCGATGACTGATAAATTATTATCATATAAAATTGAAATTAATAAAATAGATAGACATGAAAATAGCTATGGAAAATTTAAGGGAAACAGGGGATACTATGAATCAGTTGGTAGATGATATCCCATAGCCCTTTCGGCTTTCATATCAAAATAACTAACACAAATATGTGCTCGAGTCCAGTCCTTTATTTGTTGTATCACAATGTAAGACAGAAAGATTGGAAGTAAGGAGTTATGAATCCACAATAAAGTTGGTTATCTAACATATCCTTATGCATGTGTTACAAGTCATGTCTTACACGTGCCTTCTAAGCCAATCCTATCCCTAAGTAATGTAGAACAAATGACTGAATGAATTGAAGAGGAGATGGACCGTCAAAGGACAAAAGGACGAAGTTGGAACTTGCACATTTGGTGGCCGATTTCCATTTTGGGTCCGTGATGCACCAGAAATTTTAGGGTCTGTTTAGTATCCTATTTAAATTTTTTTATCATTTCTCAAAACATTTCTTGAAAATAATTTTATTTAAGACTTAAAAACTTGATTGGTTTGCGATTTAAAAATTTTAAATCTTACGACTTAAACTAGACAAAGAGATCTAAAAAGAGGGGATCGCAGGAGAGAGGGAAAGATGAGAGAGGATGAAGGAAAGTAAGAGATGATTGAAGGAAAGAGAAAGAAGAGAGAGGATCGAACGAGATAGAGAGGAAGAGGAGAGAAAGAGAAAGAACCGAGAGACTGAAGATATCGGATTGGAGGAGAGATGAAAAAGGTAAAAAAAGGAGAGAAAAAGAAGAAAAGAGAGAAATTTGGAGTGAGAGGGAAGGAGAGAGAGAAAAGAAATGAATGAGTTTAAGTTTTTAAGGCCTAAAACTTAAAAATTGTTTTTGAATTTAAAAAGTTAAATTCAAATAGGCTACCAAATTTTTTTAAATTTCTATAATAAAATCGGGCACTAGTTTCACGTGCAATTAATTTCTGTAATAAAATCAGGCATTGGTTTCACAAGGAATTTGGGCCCGTGACGTGGAGATTCCGGTGGGAGAAGGAGCGAAGCGAACGCGTACTGGATGTTGGGTCGATGCAGCAGAGAATGAGAAACTCCTCCTCCCTCCATGGAAGACTGAGACTTTGTTGTGGGATTGGGGAAAAAATGGAGGAAAAACATTTGGGAAAACTCTAATCTTCATTCGAATCTTGGGCATTGCAACCAAAGTTGCCATTTTTGGGTTTTGGGTGCCGAGGATCGAGTTTTTAGTCGCAATTTTGATGTTTGAGCTGTTTAGCTCGAGAGACTCAGAATGACCAAATGACGCGAGCGTTTTTGCTCACCACACTTGGATATTGTTTCTTGCTACTCAATTAAGCAGAAAATTAAAGCAAAACCAGCAAAAAAATTAATATTTTTCTCTCAGGTCATGTATTTTGTTTCTCGACCATCCGAGTAGATAAACTAAAACTTTAGAATTTATGTTTTCTTTTTATATTGAAAATGTTGGAAAGACAAATTTAATTTCACAAATAGATATGGCAGAAATTTAAAAACTCGTTTATAAATGCTTTTAAAATAATTAAAAGTGTTTTTAGAAGAAAAAAAATGGTTCTAAAAACACCTAAAGTGTTTCCAGCTAAATATTAGTCATTCATTTGGAAATGCTTTTATAATGACTAAAAACATTTTTTAGTGAAAATAATTTTTAAAGAATCCTTAGTAAAAAGCTTCTTAGATTAAACTTATGTTTATTTTAACAATTTGATTAAACATTCTCCTACATTTTTTGTGCCATAGGACCCAATTGCCACAGGGCCCCCAAAATTCAATTTTTGGATTCGCTACTAGATCCACATTGGAACCCGGGTGGCCTCGGGATCTTCCGGATTCTGGGAGAACATCTCTGATCGACCATTGGGGAACCCCCGATGGGTTGGGAAATGGTGGTGGAGAAGTCCTTGTCTCCATGGATGTGCATGCAGAATGTTATAAACGAGGAAGAAGAAGAGGTTTTAATTTTTTTTTTCTTTTTAAACGACCTGGTGGCGGAGAGGTCCTTGTCTACATGGATCATGGATGTGCAGGTAGAAGGTTTTAAATGAGGAAGAGAATTAAGAACTCGTCTAGTGAAAATCAAAGTAGATATTGAAAAAAAGCTTGAAGTCATTCTTGCAAAAAACATATATTTGGTGTTTCTTTTAAAATGCACTTGAAGTGCTTTTGGAACCTATAACCAATCTCATTAAAAACACTTTTAAACGAGTCTTAAGGTAAAAAGGCTCAAGTACTTTTAAAAGCATTTAAAACGCTTCCAGCCAATTTCAGTCCATACCATGACAATTGCATTCAATCCCAAGACCAAAATGATACGAGGCACAATGACAAATGGATAGCTGCGCATTGATCATTGCTACATTTGGATTCCTAGCACGTAAATTTGCTTGCTCCACCTAGTTTGAAGAAAACTAGTAACAATATGCAAAAGGAAGAGATCATGAACAATTTATGCATTCCTAAGCTAGTAATAACAATAATCATGCATATGAAATTTTTGTGCATATATACATATATATACTAGTAATTATACAACATCCTCTATTAACAATATGCAAAAGAAAGAGAGGAGCAATTACTTCATCATTTCAGTTCATCGCACAAGTCAATCTTTGCCATTAACTGACTCTGTAAAACATCATTTACTAAACTTTCCTCCATGATATTTTACAAAATGCTAGTTAACTATAGCATAGCATTCCAAAGTAGATCCCCATAATTTACAAAATCCTAGTTAATATTAGCCAAAATATTTCACAGTGCAAGACTAAGTTAGAAGCCATAACCTTAAGATTGTGCGATTAACAAAATACATCCATATCAAAAGGCACCACATAATATAATCATCCGCTTGCTTTGTCTCTTAAAAGCCTTTGGACGAACACTTTCTTGAGTTCTGAATCTATTGACCTGAACACTCCCACATTTTGTGGTTTTTCCAAAATAAGAGTCAATCCATCAATTTGATCCATAGGAGAAAGACCCATTGCTTTAAGTTCGTTAGCTATGTCACTATAATCTGTGGTACCTCGAATTATAGCTTCAATTACCATTTGCATCATTTTCCCACTTTCAACATAAAATTCTTTCAATCCATTGATAATTGCCTCGGTTCCATCACTTGAACTTCCCGTAGCTTTTTTCCTCTTTCTTTGGCTATTTGTAGATTGGTTGCTCTGTTGGCTTTGCTGGTTCACTGGAGTAACATTATTTTCAACTCCAAGATCACTTGCATCAACCTGATTATGACTTTGTTCCTTCATCATTTTAGCAGAGATTTCGGCTACATTACCCTTAGCACGATCCTTTCCAAATATATATGCAAATCTATGATACAATGGAAAAGGTTTGCTTCTCCATCCATCAGCTTCTTTATTTTTCTAAAATTATATCAAAATAGCAATTCTAAAATTTAGCATGCGTAACAAATATAGCTGCAAGAATATAACTAATGTATAAATAAAATAGGATATGAACCTGCACATAAGTTTGCCATGTGTCATGACTGTCAACTTCAATGCACTTTTTGACATCATTCCATGCAAATCCACTCGTGTTTATCATGTCAAGGACCAAACTATATGTTTTTTTCCATTTCTTCAACTTTGACTCAATATGTGGAGTTGCCTTTATATTTGAATTGGGACATAACACATTGACAACTTTTGCAACTTCAATCAAAGTACCTTGTTTGAAAGCACCTGTGTCACACCGTTGCCTTCGAGCAACAAAATCCTCAAGAACAGATAGTAATGCTTCTTCCTCAAATGCTTCCCATTTACGCCTCCTTCCTTTTGACTCTTGAGCAACATTCAAATTATTGTCGTTATCCATACCTAAACAAAAAATATTTGAATGTACTAAGGTACAATACAAAAAATCAATTCATATAATATCCAATCAATTTGCATACTATCCAATCAAATTACAATCAATGATGAGCAATCCAATCATTTTGCTAATGTCCAACATATGCATGATAAAAAGGAAAGCTAAAATAAAATGCTATCATTAACACATATAACTAGTTCGGTTGCTGGTTCCTAATTGCTCTCCACTCATTATACATTTCCTGAGCCATAGCAATCCACTGGTCAGATGTTTCAACACTACCAACATATTCACCTTCTTCCGTATTTTGTCCATCTTCTATTATTGGCAAATTCTTCATTGGATCTACAGACATCTCTTGCCTAATAAGATTGTGTAGTAGGCAACAAGCGGTAATTATTCGGCCTTGTGTCCTTATTGAATAGAAAGATGGACTTCTTAGTATCGCCCACCTTCCTTTTAGCAAGCCAAAACAGCGTTCAATTACATTCCTTGCCTTAAATGCTTCGTGTTAAAATATTCTTCCTTATTGGAAGGTGTTCGTCCCTCCCATTCAGATAAATGATAAGGTATTCCTTTATAAGGTGCAATGAATCTTTCACCATTTGTATAACCACCATCTACAAGGTAATAATAACCTAATAATAATAATAAAAAAGACCCTATTAATATTTGCAGTTCACAAACAAAACTAGACCTAACTTACAAATTTGAGACTAACTAATAGTCTTACCCGCAAGTACCTTTAAACCATTATGCCTAGTAATTGCATCATGTAGCACTCTAGAGTCTGATGCGGAGCCCTCCCACTCCGGAAACACATATATGAACTACATATCCCCTGAACACACACCTAAAACATTAGTTGCGACTCGACCCTTTCTTGTGCGGTATCTAGGTTTGTCAATTTCAGGTACATGCACATCAATGTGCGTTCTATCTAATGCTCCCGAGCAATTCTAAACAAAAAATAAGCTTTTGTTAATTTATACAAAGGGAATATCTAGTTAAAGCTTAGGAAAAATTGAAAAAATTATCAACACACCTTAAAACACCTCCACCTATGATCTGTAGAATCAATAGGCACAGTCTGAGGGATTTTTAGTAGGATACCTTGTAATCGCAAAATTCCTTGCAATATACTTTTGAAATACCTATTTATAGTTTCTTCCGACCCATAAAATCTAGCACCAATACTACGATTCTTAGTATGATATGCTAGTATTTGTAAAGTCATACACACCTGCTCCTCCAGAGACACCAAACCATCATCTTTTACCCTCCCATCTTGACGAAGTAAGTCACATAATATGCCAAAAGTCCTTCTATCCATTCTCAATTCGTTGACACATTCAATCTCAGTATTCCCTATTATACCGTTTAGATAACACAAACTAATATGTCGTCTAACAAGTGAACGGTTAGTCAAAGTGCGTCGTTCAACATGTCTGTGTTTGGCCCTTAGCATCAGCCAACACAAGAATTGTACAAATGCAAATTGTCTCTAAATGGGACGTCTCTAACAATAAGATCAATAAAAGCTTCCTTCGATCCATCTCTATCCAAACTAAAAAAAAAAAGGAAAAAAAATAAGAACATGATATATGTAATATCACTGTTATTAAGGGTGATGGAAAAGAAGTAATTATGATATCAATTGAACCAGATCAAAAGAATTCATAATACAAAGCAACTACATCACAAAGATGCAAGTTACTTGCTCTCAATTTTTAGAACTAGAGATCATCGTCATTACAAAGCAATTGTGTGTGATCTGCGCGTGCTTATGTGTATGCGCATGATTGTGCTCAATCCTACATTGTAGAGATCATCATCATTATTTATCATTGCCAAAACACATTTTTAATCGTTTTCAACCAAAGGTCAATAAGGTGTATCCATCATCTACGAGTCTTCTACAAAAACTTTACAATTTCACACACACACACACAAACACACACAAAACCAGCATACATCGACACACGCAGATAGTACACACATGGAAGACTCCCATTGCTGAAACCCCAAATTTTAAAAATCCAAAACAGCATGTGGGTAGGACTTGGAATTTTGACAACTTTGACATCCTAAATTCCCAAGTTCCATCTTATCTTATCTTTATCCCTTTTCAACCTTTTGCATAGAAAACAAAGTTTTTATTTCAATAGGAATTATGCCAAAGAACGATACGTAATTGTGCACGACATAAAGTCGAAAGACATCTTCATAGCAGACAAACTTCGAGTGTGCAAAATTACATTAACAAATAGAATCTAAAATACTTAATAACAAATTAAAAAATGGGATCCTTCCAAATGAGATAAAGAAGTACAGATTAAACAAGATGGGGCATGTTCCATTGGGTCAGGGAGATCTCAGGCAGGATATCCTGGGCTTTAGAGAAAAAAATTCATGGAAAATATGCATATCGATATTCCAACATTTTTTATGTACCCATTTTTTATGTACCCTGATCAGACTGCCAATCACCCATTACACTTTTACATCATCCTGCCTGCATTTTCAAATGCATTTTAAGGCCTAAAAATTTTAAGAGAGAACAAGGGTACAAAAGGGACATCAAGTTTGTGCATTGACAATGACATAATAAGAGACACCAAGTTTAAGAGACATCAAGTTTGTGCTCAAGGGATGCATGGATGGAGCATTTGTCTGTACTCAAGGGACATCAAGTTTGTGTCTTCAATGCATTTTTATATAGGAGTGATGCATACATGTAGTGCAGGCATGTGAGTGCAGCAATAAAAGACAACTAACAAAATGAAAACTGAACAAAGAAATAGATGAGAATGAAACCTTCTTTTCACAAACCAAGTTCTGCTTTGTGAATCTGTAACTGCAATTGAATAAACTGCAACAACAATAGGGAACCAATCAGAATACAAGTGAAGCGAAAGTCCAATACAGGTTAGCGGGTAAAGAAAGCAACAATGCAAAATTATGCCTTTTATCTTAGTTTGTAAAACAAGAAACAGAACAAACCAACTAGTACAACAACCAAAGAGGTAAAATGGAAAGCGAAATCCCGCCAGCCTCACGAGATCACAAGGGCAGACCGCTTTACAAAGCATTACGAATTTAGGATAATAAGTATAACACAAGTTAAGATTCAAGATCCACCACAAAACAGCGCGACAAAACTCAATAGGGTATACAAAAATAATGGCATTTGGTAGCTTCCATTAACAATTGAGCTGCAAAGTAACTTTCAGATGATCGAACTTCCTCCGAAAAAGTAATATACAGAAATATGAAAACCAGTAAATCAGAGTACATAATCACTATTTGACAGTTCCTTAATTATTGTGATATTAAAAAAACAAAATAAAAATTGAGTGCAAGGGACCCAACCCAACGATATGTTTCTTCAATTAAACAAAAATTTCGACAAATAAACAAAAATTAAACAAATAAAATTAGTAGAAAATATTCAAATGACGAAAATAAAGATATAACTAAACTAAAAATCCAAACCTAATTCTAATTAAAAGAATAACATAAAGGAAGAATTGAGACAAAATATACATTGCGATGGCAGAAGCGATGACAGAGATAAGCTATGAACACTGACCTGGAGGTTGGAGTTTCAGAAGTGACTGCAAGAGCTTGGAGAAGACGATAAAACAGCGTCGGAAAGGGTGTGTTGAATCGCTCAAGACGAAGGAACGGCGCTGCAAAGGGAGTGTTAAATCGCTCAAGATATCAGAGCAAAAGCTTTACAGAGAGAAAGTTTTAGAGAGAGATAGTATGATGAGCTTGTTGAATTGACGAAGAAGAACTGAGGCCTTAAATGAAGAAACAAAACAAAGTAGACTCTACAGTTCAAATTGATTCACGGCAATGTAAGGCTAAATGAGACGACTTTTTTTCTTTGTCGATTTGAACAAAAGTTTATGAGACATTACAAAAGAACAAAAGTAAGGAAGAAGTAATTAGTAAATGGGATTCCTCTTATAGAATGTTGCCCTACAAGCTGCAAAGAGCTTGCAAAAGAAGTCAAGAAAATGCATGATGATTTCCATAATCTTGCTCTTGATTATTGCATTGATCATCCTACTCTCTATTCTCAAGCCATGGAAGAAGTAATTACCACTGCATGCAAGGTTCACAATCTTATCTTTCATTAATCACATACATCTCACTCTATGTTATCATTACTCATAATAATTACAAGTGCAAGGCTCTCAAATGTTCAAATTCGACCAACTCAACCTCCAAATGTTGATTCCAACCTGTCCAACCTATATTTAATGGTCAAAACTGATTTTAACTAAATTTCAGATCTCAAAATTAGACAGCAACTGATTGCAAATTCAACACCTTTCAATAAACCCAGAATCCATAAATAAGTAAATAAAACAGATGGAAAAAATTCAGATACATAAAAAAGGCATCTTAAAAACATTAGTCGCAAATTCAAAAAACCAGAGAGAGAGGGTTACTTGGACTGTGATCGAATGGGGGAGGAGGAGGGTCGGTTTGGGTGGAGGGTTCCTGAGAGGTCGCCTGAGAAGAAGGTGGAGGAGCAGATGAGGGCGAGCAGGATCTGCAATTTGACCCTAATCAAAACCCTAATTTGTTCAAGTGCAGAGATCTATTATTGAAAATTTCTCAAACCCAAAACAACTAAATCAAATAAAGCTTAGTAGTATCACGATCGCAAAACAAATCGAAGATTCGAAGTTTACCGGGCAAGAGGAGCAGATGGGGGCGAGCAGGATGCAACTGAGGGCAAGCAGGACACAGAGATGAGGGTGAGGAGGACAAGGATGAGGGAGCAGGGCAAGCAGGGAGCGATGGCGTCGATTCTCTCTCGCAGGATGAGCCAGGTTCGCTCTCGCAGAAGGTCCTACGAGTCCGGCCAAATTTGGGGTTCTTGGCTAAGAACTCCTAGCGAAGTCATTAATCCGAGCGAGTCCTATCTAATCCCATTAAACCTAATTTTTGTGCAAACCAAACATAAGACTACACTTGGAATTAGTCCTAGTCCAGTCCCCCTAATCCGGTCAAACAAAAGGGTTTATAAACCTCGTACGTTCTCTCTCTCTCCCTGGGTTCGTAATAAAACTCGTACATATTCGCTCTCCGGGGGTTCGTAAAGCTTCAGTGACGGAGGCCATGCCTTCTTCCCCCATTAAAGTCGAAACTTTAGCCCCGGAGGAAGAAGTGAGCTCAAGCAGCAGCAAAAATGATAGCAACTGCTCCACTTTCTTCGATGTCCACGGCCCTCAAGTACTCTTTCTCTCTCTAATTTGTTTTCTTTTAAATTTCGTCGCCCTCCATGTTTTGCCATGAATTGGTTGTGCGTCTAAAGTATTTGCTGCTCTAATTGTATTATCATTAGCATTCAAAGTTGCAATCTTTTAGTTTTGTTTCGAATTTCTGTGATGTTGGCGATACCATGTATTCTTGTACGAAGAACAGGTCTGCTGCTTATAGCTTTCAATTCGATACGTAAATGGTGAAGTTAGCTGTAGTATGTACATCTGTATGCTTTCTTTAGACTTTAGTTTCTGCAGTACCAGTAATGCTTGTTCATGGAAGTAGTTTGTGCGGTCTGACGGGATTTTGATTGAAACGATTGAACTTTAGTGCTTTGCATTTAATCTTATTTGCCCTTGCAGAGTAAAGCAGAGGTGGTTTTTAAGACATCGGAAGCCAACACAACTCTGAATTTGCAAGTGGGTACTCATATTTGTTCCTTTTCTGTCAAGTGGCAGGAAATTTCATTCGATTTGAACATTTATTGACTAAGAAAGAAGATTGAGTGAGTGAATGGAGTTTATGTCGTGATGCAGGAGGTTCAAGAACTAGTGACGTGGGTGCTTGCTGAAGGATTCATGCCTTCATGGGTTTTTATTAAGGTGAGGAATTCTTTTGTTTTTTAACCCCTCTTTTGATAATTCCAATGTATGTATCGTTAAGGATCAATGAAACCATAATGATCAATATTACCAAAAGTACATGGAAGAATCCTTAATACACATACCAAACAGGTGGAAGACTCATTAAACTGTGAAATAATACACATACCAAACAGGTGGAAGACTCATTAAACTGTGAAATGTTACCCAGCCGTATATATTTCTCAATCTCGTTGGATTCCGTGCATAATTTGTAGACATGAAGTTGAAAGAAACAAGAATTCTTATAGTTATTAATACTGTAACCTTACATTTTGCAGAACAAGCCCCTCATTCCCAAAGTGGTTATGCTTTATGTCCCAGGCCTGGACGCAGCATTGTATTTATCACATCATCGACTTCTTAAGAGTCTCAAGGCATTATGTGGCAAGCCAAGGCCAGTTTTAGCTCTCAGGTTTGTCACAAGTGATTTTGCTTCATCCGCCTTTAATTTCCCTGTACTTCCACCTTCTATGCTTTATCTTTTTGCCCATACTAGTTGTATGTCAGATGGGATGCAGACGATTGATGCACTCCTGATGAGCAAAGTGAAAAGAAAGAGGGAAGAGAGTAGTTCAACTGTGGAGAAATCTAACCTGGCGTCTAAACAAGGTATGTGACATGTTTGCAGAACATTGATCATACTAAATTTCTTGCTTTCATCTTAACTTTGCTAATTTGCACGTCAAAGTTAGTATTTGTACGGAAATCAAGGACATTTTACTAGAGAATGGTCCTCCAACTTGTCTGAGTAGGAAAGCAAGCCACAAGTAACCTGAAGTTCTGTTTATTTGTACAGTTCTCCGGGGTTGCAGTTATACTCATGAACTGAGAAGTATCAATACTTCTCGGTTTCTTTTTTTAAACTTCTCCATTCCGTTATGGCTAGCAATCCTCATTTTTGGTAACATTGGTTGTCATAGTTATTTGTACTGTTCTGAATCACTAGGAGTTGTGGGATCCATGTTCAATTAATTACCAATAGGTAAGAGCAGAAAAATGTCCAATGTGTGGAGAGTGTCTCTCAGATTCAAACTATTAGGAAACTACCTACAATGTTGTGATTAACAATTACGAAAACAAATGCTGCATGCCCATCTGGATGGGGCTAGATTTTGCAGAAGCAGAACAACTTTTATTGCTACTAGAGCTTGTGTTGATGTTTTCCTGCTGTCAACACTCACTCTCATATTAGTATTCCCAAATCTTCGCATGCATAAAACATGAAGAAACACACAATGTTATCTGCTTCGTAATGTTTGGACTGTAACATCAAAGTTATTTCAGTGTGCACTATTGGATTGCGCCATAGAAGTTCTTGTATATGGAAGTCTAGAAAAGGTTTTCCTTTTGAAATTCATGCACTCATGATACAACATCAGTTCTGTCAGTATGAGTAGAATTCAGAAATCATACCAGCTTTATCATATCTTGGATATCGGTGTTGTATTGATTACTTAGCCATTCAGTTTTTGCGTTTCTTAAGTTGGTGTAGGTTCTTATCATTTGATCCAAGCTATAAAATTATCTTATAAAAAGTATGCATCCTTGTGTTCTGTAAAAGTATCTTAACACTCCATGAGGATCCTCTTAATTTTTTTTTCTGGGTTTTCTCTACATGTTTTTCTGGTTTAGATAATCTATCTTCTGTGGAACTCATGAAAGATATACCTTTCCCTATTACATTTTACACTCTTACAACAAAACAACTTGAAGAGAATGGATATTGCTTCAATTTGCCAGGTAACAAGACAGATGCCACTTAAGTTATTAATTAGGATTTCTCTATGATTTAATTTCTAGCTAGTTCCTTAAACTTTTATTCTTATTAATTATTATTTATCAATGCAGGTTTTCTTTCTACTCTTCTGGCCCCTTCAGGATCGTCTCACTATCAAATGTTGGCACTTGATTGTGAGATGGTAAATCTTTGAATATCAATTTCTAAAGATAGAAAGAAATTTGTTAACAACTTAACATATAGTACTAAATAACTGTTATCTTGTGGGAAGTTCATTGTTGAGGTGTATTTGTCCTTTCAACTTGTTTTATAACTGCCAGCTGAATTGTTCGATAGTTGTAAATTATGTTCATTTTTAATTTTTCTGTTCTCACAAAGCATTGGCGTACTGATGTCATCTTGGTTGATCCATTTTGTTTTGTTAGTGCGTCACAAGTGAGGGTTTTGAGCTAACAAGAGCAACGCTGGTGACTATGAAAGGAGATGTAAGTTTTAACTATTTTGTTGCCTAATTGTGCAAAAGGAAATGGATGTTAATGTGTAAGGATGCATGAGTTTTGTGCAATTTTTTTCTTTCTGAAATTTTTTAAAAGTAAAAGTTGCAATTTTTTTCTGACTTGGCAATGGTTTAGTGGTCTTATTTAAATTTGAATGTTTCAAAACTTATAATTTCAGTTGAATAAAATGTAGTATCTGAGTGATTTATGCTTGAACTTTCTTGTTTTGAGTAAATCTTGCTAATGTCTCTGAACTTATATTTTGTCTTATATAATCCCTAAACCATTGCCAATCTCCCTGAACATTAAGCTTTCTCTGGTCTACTTGTAGAACATCTCCAAGAGACTCTTTAAACTTCTCAAATAGCTTTTTGAAAGAGCCAAACCAAGGAAATCAAGCTCCAAGAGAATCTATATCCCACTCTTTATTTTAGTTTTTTTGAATAGTTGCTCTTTAACCTTAAAGAAAAGAGCTAGCTAAACATAAAAAGTTATTAATTGGGGAGAGAGATGTCAAGGGATGAGAATGATGAGAAAGATGGGTTGTTTGAAGATTAAAACATTTATAGTGCTGGAGACGTTAAATTAAATTGGCTAGTTAAAATAGTTTTTGGATGCACTAGCTAAATTAACAAATTTTAAAGAAACTTGGAGATGCTCATTTCCTAGTGTTGCTTGATTATCATTTCCAAATATATGAAGGAGGTGTGGAAAGGAAAAAACAGAGTGACATATCAGGGCTTCAACATCTTTTCTAATTCGCACCTTATCCCATCCTGCTGATGACACAATCTTGAAGCTAGAAATCTCTGGTTCACCAGGGTCAACATGTTATCAATGTCTGAATCATATAGGTTTTTTGAATCCTCATATCATATGATATCAAGTTCTTGCTTATCAAGATTTTGTATGAAATTTTGACTATTTTTTATGATTCTGAATGCTTTGAAACTTTTAATGTGACCCCTAGACTCTTAAAATTTCTTCTACGTAATTTTGTGCAAATGAGTTTGTTACCACCTAAATAACTTTTCTTCTCAATGTTTGAACTTCTAAGTTTTAATGAATCTCAGGTTGTGCTAGATAAATTGGTCAAACCAACAAATCCTATCACTGATTATAATACCAGGTATGTTATCATTTTAGCTTTCATTAGTCCTTCCCTTGATATGTTGCTCTAGTGTTGAAGCAATTAGAGCTGCTTCTTGGAATTCAGATTTATCGTCATCAATATGTGTGGCCATCCGTGCCTTTTTTTTTTTTTCTTTTTCCGTTTCCCATGAGGGTGGCCGGATGAAATCTCATCTTGGAGTTTTTTCAAGTTTTAAAATATTTTTATGTTATTTTCGTGTTAGTTCTGGTCAGCACCCATAGTCATTTACCTCTTCTTGAAGTAGTCTTGCTTTGGTTATAGGTGCATTTATTAGTCCATCTACTTAAGCCAAATTTCCTCTTATCTTACCAGTAAAAGGTGCTATTCACTCTGCTCTTACACATTGAATTTTAATTATTTTCCTTGTCACCGTTATCATTGAACATTTGTGTTTTAATATCTTATTCCTGCATATTATATGATGTTTTTCAAACTAAGTGCATGGTGGTGTTTGTATTTCTTGTGGGGTAAAACAAATGATGATCGGTTGTAGTGCTATTGGGGCATTGTGGGGGAGCAAGTGTTTTGGAAAATGTTGCCTCCCATTGGGGCAAGGAGTTCCAAAATTGCCCCTCAAGGCACCCCTTGTTACCTGGCCGACCGTTTAGTGTGCATGTCCCTGTTCATGCGGTCTGAGGCACTGCAGTGGCGGCTGTGCTTTTTTCCTTTTAATATATTGTTATACGGCCGACATTAATTTGCCTTAGCTGGCCAAAGATATTTTAAAGCAAATCATATTTAGCATTTAAATAAAAACCATCTACGACACGCTGGGTTTTGTGTCCACATCTTCCATCTCTACTCAAAACCCACGAATACTGCAGCTTTAAGTTTCTTCCAGAAAAACCCCCTCTTTATCCACCCGAGTGCCACCAATACATCTCAACTCTAAAAACTAAAATGATGATCCCCTAGGTGTCTTCTACAACCAGCCCAACCCTAGCAGCAGGCTCGAAATCAATTTTAGTTTCTGTGCAAGGCTGGAATCCTGATTTAGAATGAGTTCAAACGTTTATAACTCAACCACACTTGGGCTTTTAAAGTTTTCTACTCTGAGAAATAAAAAACACACTGGGAAAGTTGTAAATCATTGAGAAATCATCATTTTTCCTGATTTTATTTCTGGATATAGGTGATTCTTAGTGTTGATGCTTTTTCTGGATAAGATCCAGCCCTATAATTAGATTGCAGTATTTGAAATTGTTGCGGTATGAATGAGAGAGGCTTCTGTAAAATGATAAAAAGAATAACGATCGATTTCCTGTTCAGGTTTAGTGGAATTACAAGTGAGATGTTAGAGGGGGTGACTACAAGTCTTAAGGACATCCAGGTTAATCCTTGGATCTTGTTCTCCATTTGTACATATTTATGTTTTACATTTGCGCTTAGTGATTTTCCAGAGTTGTGACTTGTCAGATGCTGCTTCACGTGTTAATTTCACCATCTCCTGTTAAGAAACTCTTTGTTTCTAATTTATAATAGTCGCTTTCGATGCTCAGGAGGACTTTCTAAAGCTGGTTTACAAGGAGACCATCGTAGTGGGCCATTCGTTGGAAAATGACTTGTTAGCATTAAAAATCTCCCACAATCTAGTGATCGATACTGCAGTGTTGTACAAGTACCCCCGTGGTAGGTCTTACAAACCTAAACTTCGTGATCTTGCCCGGAAGTTTCTTTCTAAAGAGATACAGCAGTCAGGGCTTGGCCATGACAGTATTGAAGATGCAAGAGCTACTATGGACCTGGCACTTTTAAAGATTAGACATGGTAAGTGACTATCTTTTGCATTTACATTGTATGATAGACCAATATGGAGAATAACGGAACTCAACTAGTGTGGTATCTATCACCTTTTTAATATAGGACTTATATTGAACCTTGTCATTGTCAGCATAAACTTTTATTCATTTTTTCTTTTCAAACAATAGATTTTGTTAGATTAGATGTAGATTAGCACCGACGGGATTCTAACCCACGCCATCATGCAAGGGCTCAACACCTTTTCATCATTGTGGTAAAGGGCCACTTGCCCATAAACGTTCATTCTAATTATATGGAAAATAGAATACAGAAAAAGTGGAGTTGGGAAGCATTACTGTTTGTGGCAAAAGTTCAGTGTCTTCCAGATGTCAGAATTTGACACCTTGTCTGAGCCCAAGGTGGAAATAGTTCTCCTTTTGTCAATGTCTGTTATAAGAATGCTCCTTCTGTTGGATTAGGACCCGACTTTGGTACAGCACCATCACTGATACGGAAAAGGCTCCTAACTGTTTTGAGTGAAAGCGGAAAGACATCCTCTATCATTGATGATATTTCCATTGTGAAGCGTCATGCCTCTGAATTATCCCATGCAGTTCCTGTGTTCTCGGATGATGAAGCTCTTTCCAAAGCTCAAAAGGAGGTAGAGTTCTCATGGCTGTGTTCACTTATTTTCTCATTTTTATCATTTGGCTTGGCTACGTAATTTTACATGCTTTTTTCATTTACTTTTGATTGTAGGCAAGGAATGAGAAAGTGCATTTCGTCTGGACCCAGTTTTCTGAATTGAATCGTTATTTCACGAAACAAGCAGAAGATGCGGAGAAATTAGATGGAAAAATTGCTGAGTTGATATCCTTGCTTACATGCCATAAGAACTCTGGAAATAAAAAAAGTATCAGCTGCAGCTTAACGTCCGAACTAAAGGAAATTCTTATGCGACTGGATACTAGAATACGTACCTTGTATGCCGCATTGCCTGCTAATGCCATGCTTATTGTCTGCACTGGTCATGGAGATATAGCAACTGTCTCTAGGTATGTCCTACATTTCACCTAGATAATTATTTACATTGGTATTTTTCCTTTGTTCCTTGAAAATATATTTAAAGAGCAATAGATGACTAGTAGACTCTGCTTGCTGATGAATTTACCACTTACGACTGTCAGATTGTTAGTGATTTTGTTATATGAAATGGTAGTATAAATTTTTGAAATTCAAACATCGTTAAAGATGTCCAGGGAGTTTACACTGACCTTGGGGATACCTTATAATAAGGGAGTTGAGTTAAAGCTTCGATGTAAGCCATTTGGTTGACGATCAATAGAATAACATGAATTTATCTGTATTGTTGCGTAGAAGTTGCTTAATTGGAGTTGATTCATGTCTGACCCTGTTAACTTTTCTTGTACGTGGATGAAGATTAAGGAAAATGCTATTGGATCGTACTGAAACAACAATGTGCCGGGAGAGCATTGTAAAGGTATTGGAAGAGCTCCAAGCCCAAGCTGAGGTAGCATTGTGTTTTGTTGGTGTGAAGAGCTGAGCATAGAATATCAAGGGCTTTTAAGGGTGACTTCCAGCAAGGATTGGGTGAGGAGAGCTGGACAAAATTGAGCTTTCCGGCTGCTTTTACCTGTTTGCTCGCAAGAGCAAGGCGGTTGGTGTCTTACAACGTCCAAGCAGCGTTACTGTCGGAATGGTTAGTTGGGAGGCTTGGACAGATAACAAAAACCAGGCAAACGTAAGGAAGAATGTATGGAAGAAAACAAAGTGATCTCTTAAAAGAGGTGACGAGAAATAGTAGAAATGTCGGAGAGCATTTAACTCGCTTAACTGCCGGAGGGAAGTCCTAACTGTATTTTCTGATCTTGTAATTGACTTATATTGTTCACAATTTTGACGATCTATCATATTTGAAATTAATTGTTTGATGACGAAATGACGCGAAGGGTTGTAGGCTTGTAGCTAAGTTAGTTAAGAACAATAGGTCCGGGATAACGCGAAGGGTTATATATATACGAGGTCTTTGTTTCTGTTCATTCTATCCCATCTTAATCACATTCTATTATGCAATATTTGAGAATCACCGTCAATAGGTCCGGGATAACCCGTTGTTCCATTTATGAATACAATATTGCCCAACATATCGATAATTTTAAGCTCGCAACATCAACAATATCACGACACATCTGCACAAAATTATACAGGAGAGTACATAAGGTTATTCTATTACAAGCATTGAGATCGTTTATCAGTGTTAGAAAACTGGCAGCTCCCTACGTTCCTTTATTTATAAACTCGAAATTACGGGATTGACTATAAACTTAAGTGTATTTAATACAATTGCCACCTTACAATCGAGATGGTAGTTGTATTAAATATATGTAAGTATTGTAGTCAATCTCTGAAATTGCCTCTGTATTGCCGTGAGTCTTTATCCCCACACAAAATCAAAGTACAAGACTGAATGAAAGCGTAGCAGTAGTTTGGAGCTGAACGATCATCACCTCCACGCTGAAGCAACAATCAAGCTTTTGCCTTCCCACCCGAAATGAAGCGCCCCTGCCTCCTCCTTCACTTTGTACCTGTCACTGTACTGTCTGCTAAGATCCCGAATCGAATCAGTCACACTGGTGCTCATAGGACATGAAGTAAATCCTGCCATGGTCATCCTAGCCCTCCACTTTCCAGCTACCTCATACCGCTCTATTCTTTCCTCTCCTTCGCATGCCACAATGTTCACTATGTCCCGTGCAAGGCACTGCCTTTCAACATTCATCCTATCCTGACTCTCCCGAGGGAGAGCTGCATCAAGGGAATCATAAACAGCAGAGTAATAGTTGTAGGCTTCAACAAATCTTGGGATAAAAGGGGTTGTATTGGTGTTCACATCTTGTTCTACAACTGTAACGAGTTTGGGCCTCAAGCTTTTCACCATCCGAAGAAGCTGGTCTCTCTGGTTAACTGTTGAAACACTTTCGTCGGGCATGTGGTGAAGCTGAAAAGCAAAGTTAACCACAACTGCTTCCCCAGGCTTGCAGCCGAGCATTGAAGAATTGACGATTGAAGTCCTCGAGGCTACTGCACGAAACTCGAATGGAACTTTCAGCGCTTCTGCCAGCTTCTCAAGCCTTTGTCCAATGATGTTAAGGCCTCCAACATGACGCTGAACTGTCTCGGGATCATCCACCCCTGTTAACTTTAAGTGTGGTGGCTTACCTGGCAGGCTCGAAAGTGTTTGTATGAGGGTTATGTATTGATTCCCCTGGTTTACGTCAAAATCTATGATGTGAACTCGCTTTTCATCTTTGCATGCCTCTATGATGGCTCCATTTGCTGCCATAAATCCAAATTTAAAGCAAGGACACACCTCAAAAAGGATTTGCATGGCTGCAAGGCGATAAGAAGACGGGGGTTCCTTGCATTTCAAAGACTTGTAAAGAAATTTTCCTGAGGAAGCCAAGCGAGCTGCTAGGCCTTCCACCATGTAAGCTGCAATCCTCTGTGTGGGATCTCCTTGAATCGACACCATCTGTCGAAGCTCATTTATCATCGTTGATGCTTCTTCATTGTTTCCCTCTGAAAGTGCACCAGCGCACTCAAAAAGCAGCTGCTTGGGTGTCCGAGGAGAAGCATGTGATATTTCTTTGTTGATGCTGATACTGCTCGCGTTAGAATCAGATGATGAAGACTCCTTGGGTGAGTCATGGAGCAATTCACTCTGGATCGGATCAATCCATTCACCTTCCACTTCCATGCTTCGACTACAGCAATTTTTCTCCCCATCATCTTCATCATCATCATTGTCATCAAGCAGTGCTCTCTCCAATTCTTGAAGCTTCAATCTCATCTTATCTTCATCAAAGCTATCCGCATCGGGGCTTTGACTCTCTAAGTAATCTGACTCAAAATTGGACATTAAAGAAGTGATATATGGATTTTGAGTATTCAAGGAGGAAACTGATCCAGCTGTTAGCTGGTAATATGAGGCACCTCGTGGGTTAGTCGAACTTCCAGAAATGCCAGAGCTGGATGGATGTGTAACTTCTTCCATTGGGGAGTCAAGGAAGTACTTCTCGTAAGTCTCACTGCTGTAAGAATCATTCACATACACGGCCTTGTGCTCATCGGCCCCAAATATTTGAGTTGACAAGCTGGAACCGTCATTGCTGCCATTTAAAGAATATAATTTGCGATTTCTGTATGATGTGGTGGAGAGCTCTGCTGGCCGAACTAAAGACATGGTTTTGGTTTACTTCTTCTGTCGTTGAGGAACACAAGTTCTATCACACAATTCGAGTTTCTGCATCACAATTTGTCGCCCGTTAGAGGGTAAATAACTGTCAAACAATCATTAACACTGGAAACTAGTAAATTAGACCAAGCGAATCTGGAAAGGGATCCTCTCCGGATCCCTTCCTCCTAATCCACTAAATCAGGGGATTCGGACCATTGAAATTATCCAACGGCTAAAGTTATTATAACTTTTAAAGTGGACCCCTATTTGTAGTTGTTGGATCAAATTTCAATGGCCGGATTCCTGATTTGGTGGATAAGGAGGAAGGGATCCAGATCCCTGTCCAGCAAATCTGGTCGAGCCTGTCCAATCCAACAGATAGTAATGTCTGCTAAACTGTTTTGAAGGCATATATACAGAACAACAACAACAACAAAAGACTATTCATCATATGTCCTTTTGCAGTGGCAGGTAAAAAGAGTTGTGCAAGAAAGCAAAATCAATGGAAGTGCATGACCATTCACCCTTGCGCTCGAGGTTCCAAGTTCGATTTCCCCCTCCCCCGATATCGTCTGTATCAAAATGTTGAAATTTTGAGCCTAAACAATTAAAAGCTGCAATTAAGAAAACCTTGAACAAGCTGAACAAATTCTGAAATAAGCTGGACCTTTGAACAACATGGGAACTCCGGAAAACCCGAAAAAATAAATAATAAAAAAACAACAAAATTGTTTTTCATGGTAGCTGGCAATTGCAGAGGAATAAAGTTGTCAAAACATCATGACAGAAAGACAGAAGATTTCTGAGATTACAACAACAACATGCATAACCATCATCAGAGAGAGAGAGAGAGAGAGAGAGAGAGAGAGATCCATGCCTGCCTGAACCAATGATTTCATAGACTTAATTATCTATAAATACAATAATATATATGCAAATAAACTTCATGACAATTAAGTTCATATACAAGAGGAGAGATTTAAGAATAAAAAATATAAAAAATATAAAGAATAGGAGGAGGAGGAAAAAGATAAGTACCTGCTTGCTGCAAGTGAAAGATGAACCCAAAAATGAAGAGGAAGGTGAGAATTTGGTATGAACCTTGAACTTTGAAGGAAGAGGAAAGAGTTGAGGATTTGACCTTGTGATTAAGACAAAGGAAAAGGGCCAAAATTCCTATGGTGATATAATATAAAATAATTAAACAATTTTTAGATTTTTATGAAGTAGTTAGGTTGAGAAGCAACAAACAAGGTAGAGAAGATAACCCAAAAAGCAAATTTGAAGACCAAAAACATAGACAAATGAAAAATGACCTCGATTAGTAAGAAAATAAATACTAAGAAACTGTTGTTATTTGGGTGGATATTAACTACCTATTTGAAGCATCTGACCAGAGAAAACACTGTTTTGTTAAGAGGAGACTTTGGTTTTGGGGCAGAAAATTCCAACATTCAGGAACTTTGAGGAAGAAAAAAAGGCAGTGAGAAAAGAGAAATCCAGCCAACAATTCCCTACAGAGGAAACTTCCTTCCTTTGCTTTTACCTCTTCTTTTGTTTTTGAATTTTCTGTTCATAAGTCAGTCTGCATGTTTATACCAACTTGTCTGACTAATGTTGTCGACTGCGCAATGTGATGCTCTCGTTGCTTTTGTTGTGACACTGTTTGCTTCCAAAGCACAATCATGGGGTCTTTTGAAAGTTGTCCTTCTTTACCTTTAGCATTTTAACCACTCGACAGGTGTTTGAGCACTACCTCTTGAAGGGGTCGACAACAATATAGACTATGTTCGAGGGTCTCGAACCCAGAAACCTCTTGAAGATAAATAATTTACGGATTGTTCGAGGGGTTTTGACTTGAGAGAGGGATTTTCTCATGTCATGACGTACCACGTGTCAATGGTCTATGATGCAGGTACAATGTTATGATTTTAGAGTTTGGTCAACAACTTAGTACTAATCACATTGATATTGGCTTAATTTAGGACTCGTTTGGATATGCTTTTAAATGACTGAAAGCGCTTTTAGAGAAAATGTATTTGGGTTCCAAAAACACTTTAAGTGTTTTTTACAAAAAGCACCAATTATATGCTTTTCTAGAAAGTGTTTTTCCAGAATTTACTAACATTTTTACTAAGTATTATTTCTAAAAATATTTTCATCAAAAGCATTTTCAGTTATTTTAAAATTACATCCAAACGGTCTCTTAATCACATGAACAACCAAACATGTGTTGGATATTATCATTATAAATATTGATGTTATTCATAGTAGAAGTATTCATTTATAAGTAGTAATACATATTGTCAATGCTTTATTTAGATTGCATTCTTCAACATAATATATTAATTATTTTTATACAATAACGTTATTGAAATTAAATCTTAGTTAGATAAGAGAATTGCTCTTTTAAAGTGAGCAAATCGAGACCAAATCTTCTGCATCCAAAATGGGTGTGGCCTCTCTATGACTCTAACACGTATTCAATATCTTAACTTTTCTTAATTTTGTTGTCATGAATTTAATATGTGTCAGACACTTATTGAGGCTACACCCATTTTGGGTGCAGAAGATTTGATCTCGAGCAAATCCTACTTTTGGCCAATCAAATTCCGACTCATCAAATTGGAAACCAACGAATGAATCTATGGTGGCACATCGATTTTAAAAGGGTCAAGTGAGTTGGGTAAAAAGTACTTGGACTAAACTTGTATGAACAATTGTTTGTACGGTAACGGTTGAAAAATATGGTGCAAAAGTTTTGTTGTGCTTAATCCTTAGTGACGTTTGATCGGAACTTTATTAAAAACACTTCATGGTGGGGCCGCTGCAATTCTCCATTTCTCACTCCCCATGGAATTATAGCTTTGTATGACAAAGTCGAAGGTTTTATATTCAGACCTTTTTGCTACAAACTTTCACTAGATGGAAAGAACGAGATATCTTACTTTAAGGAAAGAGGGAAGAAAGAGGAGATTAAACACGAAATGTAGTAAGTTAATGAAAATCTCTAATTATTAAAACACTTTACTATTTAGCCTTATAATTAATTTACCATGAAAGAGTATAACATAAAAATACTTTCTTATAACCGTGAGACGTATTTAGAAGCCTTGTTGATGAGTTCAAAAAGCAAATGAACTACATCAAAGTGTGTGGACAAAAATAAATAAATCGAGAGAGGATTAACAACAACAAGGTGTTGAACTTCATTGCATTTTTTTTAAAGGATAAATAGAGAAACTTTACATAAGTCTTATTTGCACAGTATTCACAAACAGTACAACAACAAAGTCTTATCTCATTAATTTGAGTCGGTTGATAGTAGTTTCAAACCGTGCTTAAAGAAATTAATTAGAACATTGCTAAGACGTGTCTTTGAAGCATAAACTCGCCTTAATATCCTCCATATCTTACCAAATTTGTTTTCAAAATAGTCTAATAATAACAACAAAGTCTTATCTCATTAATTCAAGTCGGTTGACCGTAGTTACAAACCATGCTTAAAAAAAATTAATTAGAACATTACTAAGACGTGGCTTTGAAGCATAAACTCTCCTTACTTATGCTCCATATCTTACCAAATTTGTTTTAATAATAACAATATGAAAATCAGTTTATACTTGTATGCATCTGTAGTGGGAAAGGAATCATAGATATGTCGTCAATCATGGGGTTGGGCTGTGGAGTAAAATTGCGCGTGTGAAAGTGTTGTCCAATGGAAGTATTAATCACTGCAGGACAACTTGAAATTATTTTAATCCTTCGTCCTAATCATCCTTATCTTATCCAATACATAAGCACTACAGTTCGGATATTTACAAGTGTACAGATGTATAATCAAAAGTTGTTTTCGTCGCTTCATATTACTGTTTAATGATATATATTTTTTTATTTAAAAGTTAAAAATAAAGTTCATTTTTTTCGAGTAAATCCGCTTTGAGGGTAGCTAATAAAACGGTCGCTTAGGACCTTCAATCTCAAGGGCCCCATTTGATGCAGCCCAAGATAATTAACATTGTCTATGTATTAAACATGTTGGTGGCTTTTCATTTTTCAAAGTCATGTTTTAATTAGATATTTAGAAACTATAATCTTTAGCATTAAATATTTATGCTATCAATTATTGTAATCTCCCTATTTAAGGGGATACTTATGTACTCAAAAGGAAGCCAATAGAGTAAATTAAAAGTAATCTAAGAATACGAGTTTTCTCCTTTCTTAAATCAAGTGTGAGGTTTGGTCGTGTGAGTGAATCCACGATTAGCGACGTGAGTGATTCTGTTGCCACTGATCAAGTGATTCCCAAGTTCTATCGAGTGATTCCCAGGTTCTATCCCCGTAGAGACGTGAGTGATTTCATCCCTTTGATTGAGTGATTCCCAAATTATCATCCCGTGTCTCCCCGAGACTCTTTTTGCTTTTCTTCCCCGCATCACCATTTTTTTTAGATGCTGTATGTACATATAAATATAGCAAACTTATAGGACATCATAATTGAGTTGTGGGTGCAGTAAAACCGGCCCACCTCTTTTTTTTTTTTTTTTTTTTGGGTGTGCAGCTCGATACTGGGAGCTGCACTTTAGTCGTTAACTTTTTTCTTCTTTTTCGAATTTACCCCAAGGGATTAATGGCCCAATCCAGCAGTTGAATACAAACAAGTATCATCCTAGTCCAAATGTATATATTTTTTTAGTTTGCTTCTCAAATGAGCCTCCAATAACAATTAACAAAAACCAAAAAAATCATAAAAAGGGTGAGACAAAAAATAACACGCATCATATTTTGCATTCCTCTTCAACATATAAAGTTACATATAAAACCGCATCATATTTTGCATTCCTCTTCAACATATAAAGTTACATATAAAACCTAAGTCCCTTTGCAATCCTCTTCGTTCAAACTCCCAATCTTTCCATTTCTATTGAATGTGTAAATCAACTCTCACATGATCATTAATTTATTATTATATCGTGCTCTAGATAATTAATAATCAACAATAAACTAAAGATTTCAAGAGAGTAAAAACTTGATTGATAAATATAATAAATTCAATAGCGCTAATCGGTTCTCTTGTGTTCCTCCTGGAATCAACATTAGAATAACGAATATTATAATCATCTAATCTTTGAATAATAAATTATTGGAAAAAATATATAAATTCATAATTTTGGTTATATCAAATTACAATATTCAAGAGTTTATATGGATGTACAACAGACTGAAGTGCGTAAAAACTCAAGAGTCCATTTTTAGTAGCCTTGAGCCTCAAAATTTATGGGCCGGCCTTGTAATTGACCCATTATGGGACTGTAATCCTACTCCTCCACCCTAGTGTGATATGCCCGTCATGTCTTTCGAGCAAGTCAAGGAGTTTCTTAATATCTCTCTCTCTCTTTTTTCTTTTTCTTCCAGGGAAATCTGGTTATGTATCAACTTTTGAAACTTGATCACTTCACTTGTAAAAATTATGTTAGGTTGAGTTTTTGTTCCACATTGTATTTTGTAAAACATTGACAAGGTTTCCGCCTTGAGGTTTGTTGAGCCTAAACATGTTGGGCTTAACCTATCTTGAGAATACTCGGGAGTACAATGCTTGGACGGGTGAGCCTTTTATTTTTAGGATTTTTGAGGTACGTGCCAATGCCACGTATTCGAGATATTCTGAGCATGAAATTTGTCAATATAGAAATAAGCTAATCATAAAGTATTTACACTTACACTTACACTTAGTTATCCTTAAAAAAATTGTATGCATAAAAATAATTACATTTGTTGATGCACAAAACCGGAGGGGTCTTGGAACAACGTAAATCTGACCGTGAATCTGCAAGAAAGTAAATAACACAAGATGTATCGTGGTTCACCCCAAGGTTTGGACTACGTCCACACTAATATTGTATTTCTGAGAGGATTGTGAGGGAGAAAGTGTGAGGATCCTCATGGCCTAGGAATTGGCCTCTGAGGGTGAGAGTGAGGCCCCCCAATTGTGAAGGTGAAGGGTCATTTTATAGAATAAGGGCTCTTCACTTATTACATATTTTCCCCTTCCTTTATTACATAATTACATGTAAGTCCCCCGAGTATTTATACGAGATCTAAATACGGAGGCCCTAAGTATGGTACAAACAGTAGTCCTCCAAGTCTTTAGTCAAGGGAGTCTTTTGTCTGGAGACTTGAAATTCAGTCTATGTGTGGCCTGAAGTAACTAGATGTTGTCTTGAACTGATGCTCGATATAAGGTGGTGCTCAATCTGAAATTATGCTCAACTAGAAGTAGCACATGTTGCGAGGCTGCTCGGCTTGTGGCTAATGTTGCCTTGGTGGCTCGGCTTGTCGCGTCGAAAGTGAGGGAGTCCCTTTTGTAGAATAAGGGCTCGCTCCTCAATACAAAAATGATGGGCTAGAGTTGGTGCTCGCGGCGAGGCGGTTGCTCAGCAGGCGGCGATGCTCTCTAATGATGGTGAGGGAGTCCCTCTTATAGAATAAGGGCTCGCTCTTCAATACATAAGTGATGGGTTATGAGTGATGCTCGCGGCGAGGCGGTTGCTCAGCTAGCGGCGAT